GCAAAAGTAGAAGTAATCCCCTCCAATGATTGGTCACCTGCCTATCATCTTTCTGACATAGCTCTGAGATGAATCTGTTGACCAAGAAGATCTATTTCTTTTTTGGTTCTGCTGGACCCAACATTTCCCTTACTTATCTATTATTCAGTTAGATAGAAAATGACTCGCAAGTGCAGGGCAAACTGCCCATCATGATCACATTCCAGTATCACGCAGCTTGAGTCCCAAGTGGCTCCAGGCTGGTAGAATCGTATGAGTTTATTCCTTCTCACCCAAGAGCGCAGGCAATTATTGGCCTTTACTTTCAATACTCCAGTACAGACACACCTGAAGAACCGGAAAAATAAACCTGTGTAGCCAGAAGGACTCACTTCCCCTGTGATGGTATCTGCAGTTGACTTCATGATACCTTCAAAGAAAAAGGATCTTCTATCTCCCGTTCTTATCTTATAGGTTTCCTTAGCAAACATGGACTGAAGTGCTAGGTCCTGAGGCTTCATTCTAAAGAGACTACTGATATTATGCAGGACTGCTCTTTTCAACAATGAAACATCCATTTTCACGGAGAGGGCCCCAAACCTTTGTCCTACACATAAAACAGCCCCAGGGCAAAGCTAGTCAAGAAAGAACAGGAGAATGGAGAGTGTTTGTGGCGGAAGTCGGGACAGTGACAAGTTGCTTGAACACAGCTCCTCGCTGAATACCACAGCACGTTCATCTTTTGAAAAAACCTTCAACATGGGGCGCCTGGGTGGCTCAGTTGTTAAGCGTCTGCCTTCGGCTCAGGTCATGGTCCCAGGGTCCTGGGATCGAGCCCCACATCGGGCTCCCTGCTCAGCGGGAAGCCTGCTTCTCCCTCTCCCACTCCCGCTGCTTGTGTTCCCTCTCTCGCTGTATCTCTCTCTGTCAAATAAATAAAAAATCTTTTTAAAAAAAGAAAAAACCTTCAACATGCTGGGTACAAATGACGCCTTTGACACTTTCACCTGAAAAGTTTAGGCGAGAGACTCTTTCTCAGTAGAAGCTCCCTGTCCTTGTCAGTCACCACTACGCCTCCCTGGGGTTGTTTTGTGCCAGTCCTTCCTCAGCCACTGTTGTTGCAACTCTGTACTCTTCTGACTGAGTCTGTCAGGAAGGAGACAGGAAATTCTAGTCACCCGCACAGCAGCTGCGCCATTCCTCCTATCCTCCTCCAATGACGTCGGTTGGCTTTGGTGACACGGGGTCAGGAACTGAGCCACAGTGAAGGTCAGGAAGACAGGTCAGTGTTTATGCCGTTGCTGGGCTGGGGATCCTGCTGAGGCTATTTGCTTTCTTCCTTGCTATACTGTTTCTCTTTCCGTTCCTCTTTTTATAATGCAGAGCCAAAGCATCCTGTTTTGAAAACATCTAACTGTTTGGCCACTGAGGAGCTCATGCTCTGATGCATTTCGCTGAGGTGTAAGACAATTCTAATTCAGTAGGCGATGAAAGTTGAAACAAAAATTAATGAGCAAGTCTAAGAACGCAATCTGTCGTTACAGAAAACAGTTCTAACACGTCTAACTGAACTTGGGCTGCTGGCGGAAGGTTCACTCGACATCCTTTTCATCTTGCAAAACAATGTCATTACCTCGTAAAACTGCTGAATTTATTTCATCTTGTAATTCTCAGGGAAAAATAACCTACAGTATTAATCCACCTGGCTGCATCTTTCTCTGTGATCCTGGAATTCCATTTGGCCTGTGGCCAGCATTAAGAAACTGGGGCCCAGGAGGAGACTAGGTTTCTATAGGTCACAGAACAGTTCCTTATCTCTCAGGCTCTGAAACATACTTGGGAAAACCAGTTATAATCTGAGTCACAGTTTTCTTCAAAATATAAAAGGGTTGAGGAAAAACAATAAACACACAACCTTACCCAGATGGGGTAAATATGAAAGACTGCTTGCTTTTCCTCCACTGGGCACAGTCAACTCTCTACCATTCACAAGGTCCCAAACACCCCCCACGCAAAACATTGGCTTTCCCATCACCACTGTTGAGTAGGTAAAAACTCAGTAAATCACCCAGTTGATCAAAACTAAGGGCATATAATGTTTGCAGAGATGTAGTGGATGTTATAAAGAAGTCATCATTTATTGAATCTTTACTACCCAGCAGGTGCCTTGTGGAGCGTTTCAGACTCATTATCTCATTTAATCTTCACAGTGACCCAGTAAAGTAGGTATCACTTTTATCCCTGTTTTCCAGATGAGAAAATTAAGCCTTAGAACAGTTAGTTAAGTTAGCCGAGGTCAAGTAGCTAGTAAATGATAGAGATAGGATTTGAACCATGATCTTTTGACTCCAAAGCCCATGCTTTTCACATACTTCCTATATGGAACATCTTCAGACTCACTTCCAAGTTTGTAACTCAGAGATTTGCCATGGCTCCTTTGTTCAGTGAGGGGAAACAGAAGATGAGCAGATACAACTACATAGTAGTGATGATGATGATGATGATGGTGATGATGTGGGAAACAAAGGCAGAAGAAAAATTATTAAATTTCCTTACTACCTAGAGCCCACTGACAAGTCCTTGAAACAGGCAGAGTGACATTCTTCTAGGGACTCAACAGCCTCAACGTTAACACTTTGCTAAGGGCAAAAGGCAATCCTAGCCCAAACCCCACGTCAATTATATTTTTAAATGGTGACTTGGAAGGAATGTTCAAATAATTTCAACCACATTTGAAATTAAATGCAGGACTGTATTTTTACCACAAATAATTAAGTTCCCCCCCCAAAACTGATATAGATCAATTTCTTTTTGGTGGCCACAAAAATATTCTTATTATATTATGTTACATGTGCCATGGATTAAGCTTTATTTATGAAACAATTATCTAGATAATCAAGATTCTGGGGGGAAACATGGTTGCTAAGTAAAAAGAGAACGAGATCTTTTACAAATGCAACTGACTTGAGCTGTCAGTTGAGCACTATTCATCCACTGGACAATTGCTTTGCCCTACAACCTTTCCACTGTAGGTGTAGAAAATAGGTGCATGCCTTCTACTTAAGCTAACTGTGTCAGCGTTAAGGTTTAGCCCTCTCTTTAGGGTTAGCTCTATTCAACTTTCATTGCTTCCTGCACAGGACACCATAAAGGAGGAGCGGAAGCCTGAAGTGATTGGAATTCTCACTAGGACCTACATAGTCCTTGGTCTCAGAGCCTTATTGACCATTACACTGAATATGAAAAGTTTTTTAAATAAATTTGCAAAACAGACGATGTTTAATTTCAGCACTCCAGACACAAACCTGGTTAGAATCTACAAGGCATCAACACTCAAAATGAAAAATAATGACAATTTGCAGTTTCTCAATGAGAATTCTTTTTCTCCCCTGTAGTTAGTTGGCTACTTTATCTTAGCAACTGAAGAAGAAAGTTCAGCATGTCTTTTATGGTGAAACCTGCTGAAAAACTACCCTTAAATATTGGATCTACATCTCCTATGGGTATCAATGCTCACAACATGCAGTAAATAGAGGATCCGTTAATGCTCCAAAGTAGGCTAAAGCATGTGTGAAAATCTTTCTACTTGGAATCCAGTGTGGTTTGGAGAAGTTACACAGTTAAGCCCTCCTCATGGGGAAGCAGTTGGTTGAGATTTTCAACAGCCTGGAAAATCCCATTTCAATTGAGAACTTCAGAAAAAAAGTCAGTAAACAGTTAATCTCAAAACTTTTCTTCTTTTTTCCAACTTGAATCTAAACTAAAATTTGAGAAAGAGACTTATTTCATTTTTTGCCCTTTCGTTAAGCAATAAACAAGAATAAGAAGAGTCTATCCCCCCACCCCTAGCCCCCTTCAAAACCTCCTAAGGACACAATGCTCCCTCTGCTCAGATCCTTTGAGCAAGAGCCAGTAAGCCTTGATAGGAAGGCGATACTTTTAACCCCAGGAAAGAGGGAGGAGGGACACACATTCCCTAGTGAACCTTGGGGCTGGAAAGGGCACGTTGGCAGGTGTGGAGCAAAATCTTTTCCCAGCCCCCAAACCATAAGACAGTAAGACAATACCTCAGGCTAGGATGATTGGGCATTCTTAAAGTGTGTACTTATAAGGGTACAATGTTAAGGTTTTCCATTAAAAACGAAGCAGTAAGTATATACATATATGCACACACATCATATATATTTATAAAGTTAACATTCTCCAAGGGGGGGAAACAAACAAACAAAAAGCAACAACTCTCACTACATAAATTAGCACTCTAAATCCAGGCGTTAATTAAACAAATGATATAATGATAGATAATTAAAACTTCCATACTAAGTTTTGTCTGGGGATTGTAAACAAAACTATTTCTTTGCAGTACGGGTGGAACTTAATTTCAAATAATTCTACTTTGAAAAGCAGCAAACTTTTAGAAAATAACTTTCGTTTTTGGAGATAAAGTATATTGTTTCTTTTTTTTTTTTTATCTCAGGTCATGCCAGCATCACAAAAGGAATGTTAGGAAATCCCAGAATGTCCTTCTGAGAAGAATTTCAGAATTTATAAAACTTCAGAGCAAACCACTCTCTTCACTGATCTATGGAGGTCACGTTAATTTCTTGTCCAAAAAAAAAAAAAAAGGTGTCTCTCACCTGATTGCAATGCAACATGTTATCCACTTTACCCTGTGAATTCATTCAGATGTCATCTTACTGATAATTGTTTTTTTAAAAAAAGGATTTTCATTTGTACACAAATAAGCCTTATAAGCACCTCTCACCTTAAACATACTCCCAACTACATCAATTAACAAAGAACTTTGGTTGCTGGGAATTAAAGCACACGGAGGATTTTTAACTTCTGCCGTAGCATCCCGACACAAGCCAAGTGTGGCACTTGGGGACAGAATCTTCAGAGGCAGCTCAGCAAACTCATTCTGACCGCGGGCGTCCTCGGATGCACCTCTGCCTCAGGCAGAGGCCAGGGGAGCCCAGGGGAGCGGGGGAGCTTTCAAGAATAAACCGGTCATCTCTTACCTTGTTCGAAGCCATCTCACTGACAGAGCGGTAGGTCTGGATGGTCTCTAGCTGGTCTAAGCACCAGTCCAATTCCTCCAGCGTCTCCATTGCTAATTTTTGATAAGATTCTTCTGCAAACAAACACACAGGCATGTAGTTAGGCTGGAGCGGCTGCAGGCTGTGCATAGCCGAGTCCCCGCTGCCGCCGCTGATCCCGGAGCTACTGAAGGTGGCCCCGTGCTCCTTCATTATTTGCGCGCCGACTCCTTCCTTCCAGCTCTCTCCACCAGGAGAACGAATCACCGCGGTGCTCTGCCTGGGACGGCCGGTGCCAAGTTTTCACCGCCCCCCCCGCCCCCCCGCGGGGATGAGGTGTCCGCGATCTACCAAGAAACTTCCTCTGAGGAAGGAGGCGGGGAACCATCTCTTAGAAGCTCATCTGCATACATGTGTCCTAAAACTAAAGGCAGAAGCAGTTGAGTTTTCTCAGGCTCTCTTGCCTTAGTCATCCTGGGGCTCTTAGGGTGCGTGATGTCATTTCTGAGTGTTTGCAGTCTGGAGGAGAAATGAGGAAAGCATTTTCTCATTTTGCTTTTCTTCTAAATGAAACACACAGTCGAAAACTTGGAGGGGCGGGGGGCAGACAGTTACGTTGGGAGGCTAGGCAGTCATTCATTCCGGGGAATGTGTGCCTGCTGGAGTAACTTTTAACTCAGCAAACACTGACCCACACAAGCAAGAGGTGTAAGCTATTCCTCCCCTCTTCTGAATCCCTCCTTTAAGTAAAGGCAAAATGAGGTTTCCCTGATAAGATGCGGGTCTAAGAGAAACTGGAGTTTTACATGAACACGTTTATTGGCCAGAGTAGGCAGCTCTTGTTATACTAAACAAAGCTAAAACTTCTCTTCTGCAACTGCCAGGATCACAGGGAAATTCTGAACCGGACTTTCAGGTGGAGCCAGATGAGAACACTGCAGATTTTCACTTCGATTAAAGCCAGGAGGCTTTGATTTGTGGATGTGGGACTCAAGACTTTCTGGAAGTATTTCTTAGTGGTTCATTCAAAAAATATTGTTTTTAAGATCATATTTTTTGCTGGATAATAAAGCTCTTCTGAATGGTCACAACATGTCATTCCGTACCCAAACGTTTGTGAGTCTAAACTAATACTCCAGAGTATTGACTTAAGAACTCTATGTTAATAAACACTGAATTAACTTTATAAATGCTGGATGAATGAATGAATGAATGATGCTATAGACAGTGATAAAAGTCAGTCAGACTCTCCTGCATCCATGCCTGATTTTGAGAGGAACAACATTCATTAATTCCATCAAGCTTTCTGGAATGCAAGCACACAACAGGCACTAATAAAATTAAAAATCTTGTATGGAATTCTATTATAGAGAAGACTTCATACATTCCTGTCAAGTTTAGAATGCATTCTTCCCATGTTCATACAGAAATCCGAGGGAGACCACATACCCTTTTATTATTACTTGACATTTTGTGTGTGTGACCCTCACACTTGAAGCAGAAAAGAGAATTAGCACAAGAGAGACCCCAAGGGACTGGGATCCTTGTCCACAGATGCACATTTCAAAGAATCTCTCAAATATGCATACACCTCAGGATAATGTGGGGTTAACATTCAATATCCTGTATGTCATATTTAAAAAGCCACAAAACCACGGGAGGTGACTTCCTCCATTTTTTTCACACTCCTCAAAAATATGCAGACAAGAATTGACGTGCTTTTAGTAACACTCGTTTCAAGCCAGCCTTACACATACCTTCTCTCCTTTCCTCCTCAGTCTTGCTGGGCTACTTCAACATGCAGAATCTTGTCACTTACTCTCTAGTGTGTCCAAAACACCTTCCACTTCTTCCCAGGAAGCTTTTCCTGAAGTGCCAAAACTCTCCCATCCCACTCCCAGCCTCATATCAAAGGAGAAGTCCAACCACTTCCCGATTACTTGGGCTTTACTACCTTGGTGTCTTCCGCATCACAACCTGTGGTTCTTGGTACCTAGGATGCTCTGAGCCTTTTGAATGGGTCAATATGCAAAACGACTGTAAGATGATCTATCCCATTTCTCCTTCATAGAGAGGAGAAAAAGGGATCCAATTTCCACTCAGGGTTGACAACGGAAATATAATAATTATGGCAGCAGAAGCACTAGGAAGGAGGACTTTGCAAAGATCCACCAATGAAGGGTTACCTGCATAGCTCACTCACGGTCTATGACCCAGAGCAAGCACAGGAGAGCTCCTAGAATTGATATAGTAGTGACATGCCCGTGACTGGCCAGTGGATGTGACAGGCCCTTACTCTACTGCCCTTTCTTATTGTGGTCAGCTACAATATTTCTTAAGTGAAAGTTTTTGAAGTTAGTGTTGAAGTTAATGAGGAATTTTTCCTTCTCAGATTCTTAATCTATAGTCAAGGCTTTGTGTCCCATTTTAGACCCTTCTTATCCCAGTAACTAAGTCAGGAGGCACAGATGTCAGTGGGCTGAGTGTATGGGTATCGAACTCCTGCTCCTTCTAGGTACAGACAAAGGAAAGGACCGGTGCTGCTCAGGACTGGCCTCCACACTCTAACTTCCTGGCTCCAGCACCAGAGCCAGATCAGGTGCCTACTGGATACACGGTAAATTCGCAGAGGAATGGAGACCAAAGTGCCTGCCCAAGCAGCCTGCAACTACTTGGCTATCTAGAGGCTGGATGGTGCATCTATAGTACTATGGAAAGAGTAAGAAAGCTTTGGAGTGAGACTCACGCATTTTGAGTTTCTCTTCTACCCTTTACTGTGTGATCCTGGGTCTCAATTTCCTACATCTTAAAATAAGGATAAGAATACTTATCTCATAAAGTTATAAAGGGATTAGAGATAGAGTATATAAAGCTTCTGGTATGTTAGCCAGTTCTCAGTAGATGATCAATACATAGGAGCATAACTATTAATGGTAATCAAAACAACACAGAGGCTTGGCATTTGGGAGTAGGGATATTGTGTTCCCTCAGGCATAAGCATACCATGAGGAGAGTGCAGACCCTCACAGGCCCCCAAGCCCTGTATCTGGTGACTTAGGGCAATACACAGGTCACAAGTTACTGGGGTACCCCTATCCACCAGCTGCCAGACTGATGTGCTGTGCCCCAGCCAGGGGCAGGCTCTGGGGAAGTTGGACATTTCCCTTCCCCACAGTACTGATGCCTCACTCCACAGCAGATAGTTGGCTCCTAAGGATGCCACAAGCTCTGCTTTGGGGCATACTAGATACCTAGATCAGGGTAGGACAAGAGGCTCACTCCCACCAAGACATAGCCTTGTCTACCATGGTACAGCCATGCCAGCCCAGGCCAGGGATGGCTGCTATCATGCCCCATCTGAGACTTTGCAAGGCACACATGCCCAACTCAGACCCTCTCTGCACCTGCACCGAGGGCCCCTCTGGGAATGGATGGCAAGAGTAAGGGACTCTGGATGAGTTCTGGGGTGCCAGGGATCAGGGAAATAGATGGCTGAGAACACGTCCAGGGGAGGCAGGCAAGTAGCCAAAAAAAGGTGGGGCAGCATATGAGCCCAGCCTCCAAGCCACTGGAGTATACTCTATTTTCCCCTCAGACTTCACTTCCAAACACAAGATCAAAGATAAAATTATTTCACGTTTCAAGACAGCAGTGATGGGGCCCTGCTGGATGTGGGAACCACTCTACATCTTGCGCAGGTTGCATGTCCATGAAGATGGTCATTTCCTGTCTTGCAAAATTGGCTCTGAGAAGGAACAATGCTTAATACCACAGAAGCAAGTCTCAAGGGACTAAGAGCAGGTGATGGGACCATGTATGGTCATGGGGTTGACCCTACTGTCACAGATTTCCAGAGGGACAAGGAGAACCAACCTCCTATGTGTCCTTCCCCCTAACAAGAGTGGCAAAGGGAGATTAACTTCCTCTTGTAAGTCTGGTAGGTGTTGCATTTGACCCTGAGAAACAGGAAGAGAGAATGGATAAATAATTATAGTTAATATTAATCTGGTAATAATATGTGGCATTCATAAAGTCCTCTTCTCAAAGGAGCTCTAAGCACACTACTCATTTATCCTTGCGACATCTCTGATAGCCACTGAAGAGGTATGATTATCTCCAACTTACCTTAAGGCACAAGCCAAGAAGTCAGAGGTTAAATTACTAGAGCAAGATTCCTGGCAAGACCATATCTTGGTCTATGAACTAAAGGATTCAGCTTCGCACGAAAAATGCACGAATCCCTGAAAATGCTGATTTAAAGTGGTGTCTTACCCTTGGGTATTTTCTATTTAAAATTGTGTAATTGCTTTCTTAAATGTTGTCACCTTCTTGAGTCTCTTCCCCTTTCTGCTGTATCTAACACAGGGAGTAGTACAGGGAGGCTGTGCAGTATTTACTCAGAAGAGCTGGAATGGTTCTGGTCCTTCCTCTTGCTTCAGTGTCTGACCTAAGGCAAGTTACCTGAGTGGGCTGAGACTAAATTTCTTTATCTGGAAAATGAGGGTTAAGAAGAAGACTTACCCTAATCTCACAGGGAAGGCAGAATAGGAGAATGCACACAAAACCACACTGTCGACCTTTAAGTATTGTGCACATTTTGTAAATATCACATGTATGATTACAGATGGGATATCGGTATGTTAGAGAAAATTACAGAGAAGCAGAAATTTGAAATGACAAGAACGTCACATTTTTACTAAGATCACCATTATTAATGTGCACGTATGTCTATGTATGTGCATGGAGATCATATTATACAAACTATTGAGTTACACTCTTTTTTTCAGTCAATGATGTCCCCTTTTCTGTTTTAACAGTTTTCCAATTCAGCTAATAGTTAGCCCACATTCCAATTTCCCCAGGTTTTTTTTCCCCCTCACAAATCCAGCAGAAATGTGTGTGTGTGTGTGTGTGTGGAGAGAGAGAGAGAGAGAGGTGTGTGGGAAAGGAAAGACCCAGAGATGGGATGGGAAAGGGTAATGAGAAATCTCAGCCTGGCCACGAAAGGGCTAGCTCCTCATAGCTGGAAAACATGGAAATAGATTTTAGCAGTAAAGAAGTTAGTGGCCCCGCTAGTAACAGACCTCAGGTGCCCTAAGAGTTGGCCCCACACTCAGTGCAAGAAAGTGTTATTATCCCACTGATCTCTGGGAAAAGTGGAGACAGAGGCCATTTACACACCTATATCATTTAAACTTTGAAACCCTATGTATCATAATTCTTAATACAGATGAGAATTCAGCAAGTGAGAGCAACACATTATAGCCCAAATATAAATTTTCTACAAACAATATCTCAA